TCTCTCTCTCTCTCTCTCTCTCTCTCTCTCTCTCTCTCTCTCTCTCTCTCTCGTGTGTGTCTGTCAGTCTGTCATACCACATATGTGGAGATCAGATAACCACTTGCAAGAGTTGATTTCTCTCCTTCTACTATGTAGGTTCCAGGGATTGAACTTGGGTCCTCAGGCATAAATGCCTTTTCTTACTGAATCTTCTAAGCAGCCAATGGCATGCCTTTACTCATTGAATCATCTGCTCTCAGCAGCCTATGGTATGCCTTTACTCATTGAGTCATCTCAGCAGCCTATGGCATGCCTTTACTCATTGAGTCATCTCAGCAGCCTATGGCATGCCTTCACTCATTGAATCATCTCAGCAGCCTATGGTATGCCTTTACTCATTGAGTCATCTCACCAGTCTATAGTGTGCTTTTGATGTGAAACTGATATGGAGGAGTCACAGGAGAGTGACGGTTTCACAAGTGTCTAGGCTCAGCAATGCCCAGTAGTGCCACCTGGGTCCCCAATATCTGACTGAAATGTGGAATATTTTATGTTACTTACAGTCTCTGTGTTTGGGGGTAACCAGGATAGTTTGAAGAGTTAATGAGATGTGTCTGAGTCCTTAATTAGAAGGAGAAAATTATAGGGTTGTTAAACTTTTGCTATTTTTATGTTTTCAAAGTTTTTACTACCTTGGGTCATATAATGCAAGGAACGAAGGATAGTGACATGGCCCCAGGACTACTTCTGGCAGTCCCACTACGCTCCTCTCAGCCCTTGAACCTGCATGTTAGTTCAGCACAGTTCTCCCCACTGTGTGTCTATCCCTACATGGCCAGAGGACATTTGTTTACCAAATTTTCTATTATCAATAAAGTAGAGATTCACAAATGGGAGAGAGAAGAGCTTAAGAGAGATCAACTCACCATCACAGAAATCCGGATAAAGTTTAAGGACTATGACTATTGATCTTTTCAAGCCTATATTAGATTATGAGCATGAATTAGAAAATGCAATGTTGTAGCCTTATAACTAGGCACAAAGACGCACCATAAAAAATGCAGTAGATATATCCCCATGGCAAAGAGAAAAGGTAGAAAATATAAAGATAAGTATGCAGGAAAGAAAACTGCTAGAGATCATTCCAAGAGTCTCTATTCCTTAGCTTCTAACTGAATGACTGTCATAATGTCATCCAGTTGTCATCAGGTTATCTAGTTGTTATTGGCTATTTCAGAAGGTAGAATTTTAGAAAGATTTCTATGCCAGATGGACAAAGTAGAATAATGGCTTTTGGATGTCAATCTTACTGTGAATACTTCTTTCCTAACAATTCTAGACAAATGGGCCAGTCATTCTGTCAGAGTAGAAGGCCTCTTCATAATGTTTCTGTGCATTTAAAAAGATGCACACATTATCATTATCATTGGATTTCACATATGTATACGGGAATCAGGCACATTCCTGCCATGTATTATACACTGTGTTTACTCTGTTATAGCGGAAAAGAGATAGAGGGTTCTTAAGGGAGATTAGAGAAGATTATTATTACACCAACAATTATATTATAATCAATTATTATTATAATCAAAGAGATTAAAGAAGTCTAATATAAAAACTGAACAGAAAAATCTTTACTTGTCAGAAACAGTCTCAGATTGAAGGTGATTGCTCAGTCTGTCAGTCCCTTGCTGCACAAGCATAAGGCCCTGAGTTCAAACTTCTAGAATCCACATACAAAGCCATTGCAATCCCAGGAGCTGGAAGATTGAGACAGGAAGATCTGTGGGACTTGCTTTCTAGCCAGTCTAGCCATATTGATGAGCCCTGGGTTCAGTAAAAAACTCTATCTCAAAACTGAGGTGGAGAGTGACTGAGAAAGACAGTGATGTTGACTTCTGGCCTCTACATGCACCTTCACACAAGCATATGCATGCATATGTGTGCATACAGCACACTCACACATGCAAAGATGCTTTTTAAAAACCATAAATAACCAAGGCTATGGCAGGGCATACAATGGCTTTCACATAGTACTACCCTCAGCAAGCTAGCCCTCTAAGAATGTGTTTTATAGCCACTGTCAAATTTTAGTGGCATTTCTTAGTAGTCCTTAACTTTTTATGACCTAACAAAACAGAAATGAGGAGGTAAAACTGGAGAATTTGCATGGAGAGAGCTCTTTATGGACCCCCTTGCCTGACACAATAACTTCCATTTATGAGAAGAGCGTGATCACTCTTTGGCTGTGACAAACTGACTAGCAAACTGGATCTTCCTAATGGCC